CTTCACAAGAAAAGTAGACATTTTAGAGTAAAATCCTGAAAAATCTCGAGGGTGACTTTTTTTTAGTTTACAAAAATAGTTAAATTTTTATTCAACCTCGTTTTGTTAATTCATACCAGGCAAAAGTTCATTTCCATTTTTAATGGGACAGACTATAGTTTTAGAATGGTTCAGTTTTAATGCGAAATTGTAAAACATGAAACAGTATCAATATCATTATAACACTTGAACCAGTACCGGCATGATTTAAATTCAAAAAGAAACTTTTTTTGTAACTCTTTTGTCATTAATTCAGACATGAGTTTAGACACCTGGGTAGAATCACTGGCCCTATAAGCTAGCAGGATAGATTATTTAATCAAAGCACAGAAGGCGCTGAATTTTTTTGGGTCTCAGAATGTCAGAAAGGTGAAGGTAACGTGAGATTATAAAACAATTTGTTTTTGTATAGTGCCACCAATGCTTTCCAGCGTTTTAATTGTAGTTAATTGACTATAAGACTAATTGTACCACTGATAGTGGATCGAATGTTATTTGACTTAAACAATTTGAAAAAAAATGAGTTGCCTTAACTGGGATTTGAACTCCAGACCTATAGCTTCCTGAGCGAGCGGGCAAACCCCTCGGTCACGGTGAATTTACATGTAAACGGCCTGAAGAAAACCATATTATTCTAGTTAGAGTTTGTAACGACGATAACTGTTGTTTAACACTTGTTTAAATAATCATGGCGCTTACTATAAGCATGTATATCTATAAAGAATAAAACAATATTAGAAATCTTCGACCATTCGGGAATTTATTTTGCTTGAAAATTAATCCGCCTGTCAATGTGACCATATTTACGCAGTGATCTCCCCTAAATTTTTCAGCCTATGTGTTACATATAAAGGGAAGTAACCGCTTCAAAAAAACGGACTACTTTCGGCACTTGCAATTAACAGCATTAGAGTCTGAAATTTCGCTACTATTATTTGTTTGGTTTGACGACCCAAACAAATAAAATCTGTAGACAGTAACATACAGGAACTTTTTATATATGTAGCCTTCACTGTAAAATTTAAATATGACCTTGACATTTGCGACTTGCCCTGTTATTTGTGACATTTATCAACAACTTTAAACATTGAGAATGAAAGAGAAAGAGAGAAAAAAAAATCTTCTCTAAGATGGAGTAAAAAATAAGTCTCAAACATTCTCCAACTTGCAAGTTTTATAACCAACACTTTAAAGTTAAAACAAAGACAATGTAATTAAAGAAGACTATTGATTGCCTAGTAACACAATCTTATCTCAACAGTTTATGACAAAAGTGGCATTAAAATAGCTCATTTTGTGACATAAACCATAATTACACAACATGATATATCAATAAGAGAAAAAAAAATGTTACATTATAAAATAAGGTAGAATTTCTTCTCCGGCAAGCAAACATAATGAGATATAGCAGACATTTAGTCAATGTAACAACAAAATGTTTTGTCAAGTAGTAATTTTCAAGAAGCAGACAAAAAATAGTAAAGAATGGTAAAAAATTTCAACATTGGCAGATGTTTTCTTAAAGGAGTTGATGAAAACTGTTTCCGTGCTCTGCCCGGATAAAATCTATCTAACAGAAAATGCTGAAAATTGCACACAGCTGATTGGATTTTATTTCTTTCAAATTGTATTAAACAGGAAAAAAGCTAGTAAATTATCTAATTTGCAGATGCTTCTTGGAAAAATTATCCTTGTTGCAATATCTGCAAGTTTATTACCTAGTGTCTTTGGAATTTTTCTAAATTAGATGGATCATTAATTAACAACAGAGATCTTATAATTACACTCAATTCTGTTTTCCCTTCTTATTTTTGTTTTGTGTAATTTGTATTCTTTCAATTTAGTACAAAAAAAATGCTTGTTAATTAAGCGTTCAGTGAAATGACCTGTCATTAACACACGTTTGTTTTGTGATTATAACTTAATGATATTTACAGTCATTGATCTGCCTTCAACAAACACCTGATTCTGTTGCCATATAAGCAGATACTTACTTGCCACAATAGCCTAAGCAAATGAAAGCAACAATCTTCAACCACCATTTTCAAAGTAACTAATTTTCCTGACATTCTAATTCGTGAGGCATTCTTTTTTAGGATAATCTAATTCACAATAAGCCCTTATTGCGGAATACTAATTCACAAGCACTTTTGAGCATATTGGTTATCTCTAATTCACAAGGCAATCAAATTCGCAAGCTTTTTTTGAGGATATATAATCTAATTCATAAGCCCTTTTTGAGGATAATCTAATTCACAAGCCCTTTTTGAGAATTTAGAGAATTTTGAGAATTTAAAAGCCCCACAATAAAGGACAATAAAATAAATTCACTAACTTAACAATACCCCCTTCTTCTTTTTTGGATAAAAATCTGATATTTAGATTTAAGTACAATATTATTTAAACATGTAAGGAACAGAAACAGTTAAATTCTAAGCAATCACAGCACAAGGAACAAGGAATGAAGAAGAATGAATATTTACAAAGCATCCCATTTATAACTATAATGATTTTCAAACTCTCTATTACTGAAATGCACTCATCTATGACAAGTCCTTTTAAACAAAATCAATGACTTTTCAATTTTTTAACAGCTTTGATTTCTTTAACAAAGAAAACACTTGCAAAATGTACCGTGTTAAAATGCCATAGAAAGATGGAAAGATCCCATTAACATGGCTTCCATTCTCGTCTCAAACAAAAACAAATGAATTAATTCAATATTCATATCCTGAATAAAAGAACAAAGTAAAAATACCTTTTAAGAATGTTTGCTTTTACCCAGAGAATTTGCCATTGTATAAAGAAGGCCATTAGTTTCCTATATATCTTCGAAGAAATATGAGAAAATTATTAAAGATAGATTGCTTGCATGAAAGATTCCTAATTAATTGGTAAATATTTCCTTCCTGAAATTCCTTTGAAAGTTTCCCAACACTTTATGTTACAGATAATGACAGTAAACAAATGTAGCAGAAAAAAATCATCAGAAAAACACGAACAGTTATTCTTCACTGGAACTGTTATTCTTCGACTGATACCCTTATTCTTTGACGTGATACCCTTTACAAACATCTTTAACCAGTTTTTTTTCCAAGGTATCCAGTCTTTATCTGTGTTTAACTCATTGATGATAATGATGCTTAACATTTAAAACAAGTTGACAATTTTATTCCTTTTATTTTACTCTGAAAATCACTATCTTAGACCATACAAAATTAATATGATAATAACAAAATTAAACTAAAAACATTGAAATAGATATACAAGGGATATTTTATTTACACCTAAGTTCATATTGTTTGTGGTCTGATATAACGTGTACATTAAAGAACAAGTTTAAAGAACAAGAATCATTTTAAAAAACATTAACTGACTTTGAAATTTAGCTCTTTGGAAGGAATAATGTATGTGTAACCATTGGCAACAGTAATACATGGCCTTAGAAACACCTGCCTTGAACAATAGATTCCTATATTGACAGTAATAACAGTCTTTCAGCTTGAAAAATTCTTTAAATTATTTCAGTTACCAGTAATTTACCTAGAATTTAAAAAATATTCCTGCAGTCTGATTGGCTGAGACATTGGACATTTAATTTACACACATTGTAAATGTTGACATATATATTCAGTTCAAACTATAATAATTTGATAAACTTAACAAGTTTTTAACATCAATATTGCATTGAACTAAATACATTAAAACAAGCTGACATTATAAAGCAGTAACTGTTGTTTTTATGTTCAGAAAATTGGTCAATTATAAAACAAGCTGACACAGAAAATGTTTATCTATTCCCCATTGTCCGTGATTATCTTCAAAGATTATGTTTAATAACCTATTCAATATTCCACTATCAAAAGTGATAAATCCGCCAATTGAAGCCAACAAAAAGACACAGCGTAAGACTAGAACAAGATTATAGCATGATGACAGGCGATTTTCTCCTGGACCACAGTTCAAACCTGGTTTCCAATATATCAATACATTCCTTGCCTACTTTATTTCTATAGACATGAAATAAAACAGACATATTTCTTTCAACTTCTGGCATAGATGGCACTCAGTTTGATGTATACAAAATGTTAGAATATCAAGAGTATTATAAACCTGGGGTGAGATTTGATGAGTTGAAACCTTTATAAATAATTTGACCTCTCGCCAAGACTAAAACCACTGCCATTGCCAAGCTGTTGATTATAAACCATTATTAACTACCAGCAAAAGTCATAGCAAGTATTTTGTTGGAAGAAAAGATTGAAGAAACAAGGAAAACGTGAACAATATATCTGTAAACTAATTATCTTTTTTTGGTTTCAGTATGACTGGCTTTTTTTTGCTTTGTGCTTGTTTATAAAAAGCATGATAATATCAGTCAATGATCTTGTAGATGATCAACAACCATTGTAAGAAAAACTTATGTTGATCATAAAAAGAAATATAGTTCTTTTTTTCATGGATTTAGAACATATCTAAAGTCTGTGGAAGAAAAAATTACAGATTTAATCTCATGTGGATAGCGAAAACATCTCAATTCCACATAAAAATTATTTATTATTCACTTGAAATTGAATGTACTCTCTATATACAACTTACTTATAGACAAATTAATTGAAACGGATGATAATAACAACAAATTGTTCATAAAATATGCAATGATTAGTGAATTCTATTTCAGTTTATGTTCAAAGATGAAGAGTCAGGTTATATCAGTAATGGAGGGAAGTTTTAAAAAATCAAATCAATATGTTATTATAGACAAAAAAATCTGCTCCAAATATTAAGATGAAACATTCACTTTTTTCCCAGGAAAGTACCTGGAGTTTACACTCCATTTTATGTTCCTCTCCACTCTTCGGATATCCTATCCTATAAATAAACCAATTAAGTGTATCTCTGTTTCTGTTCTTTTATTATACAGAAAAAAAAACATTAAAGTAAAAAACAGACACACATACCTTCTTGATATATCCATCTCCGGTTCCAACAATGGCCACTGTGTGGTCAGAGGTCATCGTCAGAGCAACAGAGGTCAACCAAGTATTACTATACTCCAGTATGGCATTGGTTTCTGATGGTATTGTACCAACAATGTTTCCAATAGATTCCAGGTCACGATTACATAAATAATCCTTGTCACGGTAAAAAGGTTCCTGAAATATAAACGAACATATATCATTATCTTATAATAAACTCTTATACTTTCCATTTATAAATAAATATTTAATATTTCACTTTTTAGGTCGATATTTTCTTTCTCCATGCAAAGCTAGAACAATTTTGTTTTCATAGTTTTGTCTTAAAATTGCAGTATTTTACAGAACTAGTGAATACAGTGGCCATTTTTTATCCCAGGATTGCTGAGTGTTCTACAAATTGTGATTAAACAATTGTTTCCACCATATATAAGAAAGAACAGTTCAATGTGACCTATTTTCCTTTAAACACAAACATGATTAAACTGGAGAAATTACCTAGACTTTGCCATACAAAGACAAAACTTATGAAAAGTGAATTATACCATATGACTTTGACATGGGTACGCAGCTTAAAAAAAATGTAACCAGTAAAAGTAATGGCAACATTCTTCATCATAGCTTGCAGAACAAAAGCAACATGAAACACCAAGACTACAATAATTATAATCTTTGAGCAGCCACGACTTTTGCCAACATTTTCACAGAGACCCCGACCTTCAAGTGTGGTCTCTCAGTCTGAATAGACAACATCATAAAAATGTGATTTAGTGGTGTGTAACATAAATGTATGCTTCAGGACGATGGTTGTGATGCCAGGAATGTACATCATGGTAATGTATGCCCCTCCATTCTTAAAATAACAGAGAAGAAAACCAGAAGTACCAATCGAATAAAGGTGTCTCCTGCATGCAGAACTTTGTCTGTTTTCTATATACCTGAATATCTAACTTTTTTGAAAAATATAACATTTTGACAGGAAAAGTCACTTGACATGCACCTATGCAGAAACATGTGTTCATGGTAAAAACTCAAATTTTCAAATTTGTGAGATTTCGCATGAAAGGAAAAATGTTTTAAAGCCATGTCCAAAATTAAGTTCTTCCAACTTGGTTCAAGTGACATCCTGTATTAAGCCATAGGTTTCAATACTGGTACATGTACTAATATCTAGATTTGGGTAATTAATACGAAATCTATAAGGTGCTAGCTTCATGATTACTTTTTCTAAGGCTTATAATGGTAGTTGGAAGGATATAAATTATTGTATTTTGTTTTTGGAAATATTATATCAATGGTTATATATGATTCATATATACAGTATAATAATGGTAGTTTGGGTATTCTTACATTTCCTCTTGCATTTATACTTAATTGCACAAAAAGTGTAGACAATAATATTCTGGAACAGCCCCACAAGGGAAACTGACCAGAGCTCTGTAAGTGCACTTTCTTAGAGATTGACAATCTTCTGAGAAAACTTAATCTTGATCAATTCTGAATGAATGTGTGCAGAATAATAGACAAATTGTAATGGGAAAATATTGTTGGGAGAAGAAAACTTGTAATAAAACATTACCATAAATCTATACAAGGTTATATCTCATCATTGTGAGAAACTCAGATCAAAGAATTTTCATAGTTCATGAGAACAAATTTTATATATTAGATAGTATAACAGCAAAATAATACTTCGAGTAAAAACAACAATAAAATTCTTAATTTACTATCTTGATTCAAATTAGCCTTTCACAATTGGCAGGAAACATGGGGAGTAAACATGTAATGGAGTTTAAATTTTACATTTTTAATGGTATATTATCATGGAAATTGTCTGTAAGTTTGTATCAAATAATTAAGATATACTTTATAAAAATTATCTCTCATGAAGAGGAGTATTATATGATGTTATATAATATATATAAGCTTTTGTTTGACAGTGGAGAATAAAGGCATAAACCATTCAAATGTTGCAATAAAGGGATTTAAATGGTTGCAATTTCTCAATAAAAGTTTCAGTCTTTAAGTCTTTGTGTACTGACTGATCTTTTGGATTTTGGAACTTTATTGAAATCATAATAAAAATAATATAATGTAAGTAAATAGTCAATAAGATTTAAAAGCACAATGTTTATGTTAACTAGACTGGCCACTGCAGACCTGATGCCATCACCAATGGTGCACAAAGATTTGAATTAACCAATAATACCAAAAAAATATTTTTGTGCCTTCTTTTGATAAATTCAATTAAATGAAAAAAATCTGACATTTATATATCCAAAAATTAATTCTGAAATGGATATGTACCTGCAGGTCCTTTCCTGGCACAAAATTTAACAGATTACATAATGGTACATTATAAACAATTCAGTAGCAAATAAAACATACTTTTATAATACTTTTAAACACTTAATCTCTTGTAAAAAGACCAAAGATGCCATTCTTTGTATCAATAATTCAGTCGTAAATACATATAGAAAATATTAGACTAGTGTAATACTGTTTTCTCAGTTGCAAAGATTAAACAGTTTGTAATAATGGTAATAAATCTTAAGTCAACATGTTACAAATGTATCCCCTCATGCTGCAGAACCTGATGCTTATTTTGATCATTAAGTTTTAACCTGTCACATATGCACACCAGATGTTGTATCACAGATTTTGTGACTTGTGAAAATATTATAACAGTGTGCACTTACCCATTTATGTATAACTAAGACTTTTAGTAATTCTATGAAACAAAAAGAAGAAAGTCTCTACAACTTACCAAATTCTGGCACTGTTTTTTGGTTAAATATCCTCCACCACTTAGAGCTTCATCTCCACTGTAACATTTTTGAACATTTTCCAACAACTTCTTTCTAATAAATTGCATTGTGAACACACAGATAGCCGAGTTCGAGTCTGGTCCTCCCTGATTATCCGTAAACACTCCAATTAAAATATCTTCGGCTGATCTTAATCCAAAACTAAGTTGTAAATTTTTAGAGGCTTTAATCACTCTTGCAGCTTGTACATAGTTGTACTCTCTTCCGGTAGTTTGTGATTTACAGACTAATGGCATATCAATATAAGAGTAATAATATGTATCTTCTTGACAGATTTGTATCACTTTTGATATAATTTTAGAATCACTTTTGGTTTCTAAAGGAGATTCATACTGCTGTGTAAGAAAATAACTATATATACTTGACTGAAAACCAGTGATATATTTGATTAAATAATTTGACCTGACATTCTTTTTTAAATAAATTCCTGAGAGTTTTGCTTGGATACTGTCAGTTTTTGCAAAAAGCTGGAATCTTGTATTTCGGCCAAGACTTCTTGTACTTATAGCGGGAACCAGACCTCGAAGTTGCTGTGTTATGACATCAGTTTTGCCTCCGGAAAAAGTTGTAGCAACATAAAGAACTTCAGTTTGTAAATCAGGCGGGCCAGGGGCAACGAATGCTACTGTTGAAGATTTCGGGTCATTTGCTGCTACTGCATAGTCTAATAACGTACCGTCGTCTGAGTCATAATACGTGTGTGAACGAGAAATGTTTTTTAGATTTCTTGCTTCACATGCCCCTTGATAGACACTACCACATGTTAAAAGTTTTTCTTTGCTTCCTTTGTAATGTATCAAAACCATGTTGTAATTATCAGTAAAGTTTTTGGATGAACTGCATTCTACATCATTAAACCCTGGAAGACATTTTTGACTGTCGTTAATTGGGCCGGTTTCCACTTCACTAAGAAGACCTAAATTGGAATCAAACTCGTATACTCTATTAACTGCACCCACAAAAACACGACCCCATTCAGTTACTATCATGTGATTGAGTTCAAATCTTGCAGCTCTAACATCGGTTCCTAATATCTTTTCATTAACTATACCGTCCATAAATATATCTGGACGATAGTGCGGATATACCCCTCTGTAATTACACTCCACATATCGCAGCTAAACCTAGCACACCTAAAATGTGGAATATTTTATTCCTAAACCTCATATTCACAGATACAGATTCAATTTCAAATTATTCCAAATTTCTAAGCTCTTCATTTTAATCCATCACTGTCATGTAAGGTTCCCATTCTTTTTCCTGCTTCAATGCAATATCCTAACTTTCAGCGTAGAGAAATTTTCTCAATTATTATGACACAAAATGACCTATTTTCTCATAAGCACAAAACACCATATTGATGCTTGCATTTGTATTGGAATTCACATTACTCTACTAGTAATTCTGAGTAATTCTGTTCCATTTTCTGCATCCAATTTCGCTCGCACTCTTCCTTGTGTTAGAGTTGTACTAGAGGTTTTTTTTTCAGATAATTTAATTTGCTAACGCCAGTTAACAGTTCAAATTTGCTGATGTACTCACATCAATGTACAAACCAAAAATCCATGAACAGAAAGAAAGAAAATTACCAGAATTAATCCAAGATTCCAAGATTTTTTCTTTACATATTCTGTTATCAGTGAAAAACACACATGATTTTTGTACATTTATTGCACAAATTGTTTATATTATCCTATCTTAGATTTGTATTATCGCAAACGTCCACCAGATGGCTCAAGTATGTTATATCCAGCTTAAAACAACTTCCTCAGACTTTGTGTATATATACTTGTATAAACAGTAGTAAGTGGTATCACTTGCTCTCTTTCCTAACAGGCCTCCTAGAATCTTTCACACTGCTTGCATATAGCTGAAGGAACCCTTCATCATTGGTTAGCGCATAGCTTTCTGAAATCAGAAAAACGAAGATGAAGTTGATCATTTATTTATAATCCCTCTTGAAGTCTGTTACCACTAATTTGAAGCAAGAGAAGTAAATAAATACAACAGACCTACCAGATTTGATAAATACCCTAGTTCAGTAATGATGCATGCTATAATGAAGAAAGTCTGTTCTGTGTATAATCTCATTATAATAAATGTCATATTCAAATAAGACTATGTAAATTGTTGGTAATCTACACACTGGTTTGTTTCATGTTTGCACTGTTGTAAGTGCCATGTTTTAAAGTTCATTTGTCATCTGAGTATAAAATCATAAATATATATATATATAGAATTGTTCTATAAGTTCAGCATGTAAGAATAAGTGCTATAATAATGTACTATTATGATAAAATTCTGTTATGATAGTGTTTTGTAATGACAAGTCTTTCATTTTTGATAATATGTATATATCTAAAATAGTTCTACACCAATTATGCACATATATACTTGTACTTCAAAGACATATAGGTACATGATTCATTTAAGCCGGCTCTAATTAACTTAACTGACTTCATCAAATTTGTGTTTTGACATTAATTATATTCTAAATGTCTGTCAGTAGTAAAAAGTGGGGGAAAGACTTATAACACATCTTACTGCACAGATTTGCACACTGGTCCGAGTGATATAAGTCATTATCATCCCTGGTTTTTTACACAGTAAATATAGTTTAAAATTACATAAACAAGAAAAACAACAAAAGTCATGGTTCGATTCAATAATATATCACAATATGATATATAATATCACTGCATGGAGGTGTGTCAAAGTGACTTTAATTAACTGCTGAAATTCTTCCTTATATCAGGTGACTGATTTCTGATGAGAGTTGATTTGATTTTAAGACATTTATTAAAACAGAGAGTTTTATCATAACAATGTCTTAAATTATTTCAAAGTCAATGAATTAAAACAGTCATTGTGTTGAATCCATCAAAATATACAAATTGATATTTTCCCCTAGATATTTCCAACATGTTTATGGCACTATAAGATTGTCATATAGGCCATATTTTCAAAGACATGTCATAAATCACAAATGTTTGTTTTAATATGTCATCTTGACAGCATGAAGAAAATATTTGAAATCTTTCTCTCTTTTTTGTTTCAGAATCAATGTGAATTTAATACAAAATCTTGATTTTTTTGTAACTAGGAACACTGTTATACCTCAGTATGCCAAATCATTTGTCAAAATCAACAGCATGCCATGAAGAAAGAGTGTCACAACAATGTGACACCTACCTTCTTTTTGCTGAAATATACTCTCAAATATTTGATTTTGTTTTTGGTAACAGCAGGTTTTAAATTAAGACATGTCAATAAAAGACTCAATTTCAACAGATAATATAATTTACTAAGTCAATCATGAGAGTGTATTTTCAGTCTTGTTGTGACTACAAGACAAACCACAAAATCTTGTTTTTTTGTGTGTGCCGAAAAAAACAACAACAAATGTTTTTTAATATAAGTACAATGTAAATCACTGATATATAAAGATGCATGTGTTGAGTGATAGAGTTCATTTCCACATGTATGTAACAAAATAAAGTTCAATTGTTAAGAAATTCAACGGCTTTATAAGGAATAAAATATATCAGAAGTGACATACAGTGTTCCTATCAATCTATTTCTAAAGGGAACAGGATCACCATAATCTACTTGACTGTTCATTTACAATCAAAAATAGGAAAATCACATTTAATTTAATTCTATATGTCATTTGGAAAATATCTGGAAAAAGGGAAACCCCTTAAGAAGTTTTATCATTAATCTGGTAAGCTTTCATTCATTTTATTTCCAAATATCAAACAAATACTACGCAATGTTTTGTTGTTTTTTTTGTTTTTTTTTTCAGAAAAAATAATTGAAGCAATTCTTATATTACTCAAGATCTACTCTTATAATATTTTTAGTCAACCAAACTTGTTGAGGTCATGCAGCATGTTTTTATCTTGAACAAAATCCCCTTAATTTCAAGTAGCCTTAATATACCATGAGACTTAAGTTACTATTTTTAGATCTATATAAAGCACAAGTACATCCAGTTACCTAGATAGAAGTAATAAATGACTCTCTATAATGGAGGTGGATGGAAAGCTAGCTACCTAATACAAGAAATAAAATGGGATAATGGTTACATTTTGTATTTTATGTCTGTATATTTCATTTAACAATACTTGACATCAGTCAGAACTCTGAATGGCATTTCCTCCCATTCCTATAAGTAGTTCCCCCCCCGCCCTTTGGAACTACTTTATCTCAAATTCTTACACACACCTGATCAATCATGTGCTGAAACTACTTGTACTGGAATTAATATTTCATTACCAAAACCTCATAAAATTTATTGTTCCGCTGGTTATCCTGTTAAAATATGTACGTTTACAATCAAACATTATTAAACAAATACAATTACATTTTGTATATTTACACAAAAACCTCATTAATTCACTTGTTATGTAGTAGTAACACTGGGGGCAGCAGTACAAAAATTGTCATTAAGTACACAAAATCTTACATTATTATACTAATTAGCACAATTATGTTGAACAAAGTGTTATGTCACAAAGTGCATCTGTCAAGCTTTAAACCACTAAATATAAAATGATATGATATTCAGAGGTTTAAAACATGACAAAACCAACATAATGCCTTTGCGACCAGCATGGATCCAGACCAGCCTGCGCATCCGCACAGTCTGATCAGGATCCATGCTGTTCGCTTACAAACCCTATTACAAGTAGAGAAACTGATTGCGAACAGCATGGATCCTGATCAGACTGCGCGGATGCGCAGGCTGGTCTGGATCCATGCTGGTCGCAAACCCATTATGTTGGTTTTGTCATGTTTTAAACCTCTGAATATCATATCATTTTATATTTTTTGTCGCTAGCATCAGTTGCAACAAAAAAGAAATAAAAAAATTAATTTGCATAGAATGCATAAATTGTGATGCAACCTCATCAAAAATAGAGAGGGAGATGGTGAGATAGAAGATTTAAGATGCAGAAAATTAAGTCAGCTGATTCTAACAAAATCTGCAATTTGATTCAATAATGGAGTAAACATTTGAGATGATCGAGTCACATGACCGAGTTCGAGGCCTATTTTTTTCATTTTGTATGATTTTCCTTTGCTTCAGTCTCCAGTTTTTGCCATTAATCAAAACTAGAAACTATAAACATAACAAGAAAATCAATATCATCCAGGACTACAAGGGTGTGAGTTTTAATTAAAGCACTTTTCTGTATTCTAGAACAAGAAAATAATAAATTAACCTGAGCAGGATACAATTAAAATTAAGGGAAAATTAGAATTTTGTAAAATTATACTTCTAAGAATGTTCGGGAATAAGTTTGCTAATTTAGTATTATTATTCATTTGGGTTAATCATCAGTTTGGGGAACAGTGCTTTGGAAAAAAATGGCAGTTTCTGAGTGGAAAATTGGTTCCAGTACTAAAACCACCTAGGTGGTTGCAACTTGATTGAAACAAGAGCTGTCAGAAGGACAGCGCGCTCGACTTTTTTAGTGCTTGCCTATAAAACAAAACTTTGACAGTTAAGGGCACACAAGACTTTAACTAGGAATTTCTAAGTACAAATCAAGAAACATTTTCACAGAGTTATCTTCTCTTGCTTACAGATAGGTCTCATGATGGCACATAAGAACTCCAACTTCCAAAGTAATATCTCAAATGGTTAAGTCAACAAGTGGACAAGAATGAAAATTTTAACTGAGTTTCTAAGTCAAAAAGGGCCATAATTCAAATAAAATCCTTAACAGAATTACCTTCTCCTGCCCATGTTTTGGGACCATGATGGTAAACAAGTATTCCAACTTTCAATTTAATATCTCAACCAGTTCAGTCAAAAAGTTGACTGGTACAAAAAAGTTAACCAAGATTCTAAGTCGATAAAAGGCCTTAATTTTTAAAACAAATCCCTGACAGAGTTACCTTCTCTTGCGTACAGATGGGGGTAATGATGTGAAATAGCATTAAAAGTTTCAAAGCAATATCTCAAAGGGTTAAGGCAATAAGTGGATTTTACCCATATTCAATGTATTTTCTAAGTCAAAAAGGGGCATAATTCTGTCAAAAACCTTGACAGAGTTATGTCCTCTTGTCTGTTGATGAAGGTCGTGATGGTAAACAAGTATGGTCAGTTTCAAAGCAATACCTCCAATGGTTTTGAAATAAAGTGAGGTGGTACAAAAAACTTAACCAAGCTCAATACACTTTCTAAGTCAAAAAAGGGCCATAATTCTGTCAAAAACCTTGACAGAGTTATGTACTCCTGTCTGTAGATGGAGGTTATGATGGTGAACAAGTATGGTAAGTTTCAAAGCCATACTTGTAATACTTCTGAAATAAAGTGGGGTGGTACGAAAAACTTAACCAAGGTGTGACGCCAACGCCGACGCTAACGCCGACGCCGACGCCGGGGCGAGTAGGATAGCTCCCCTTTTCATAGAAAAGTCGAGCTAAAAATATGAATTTTTGATGAAGGTCAGGCAATTTTTTAGTGACAATGTTCAACCAGTAGTCAACATAATTTAAGCAGGTCTTCCATTCCAATTGTCATCAAAATCAAAACAATGTAACATAAGCTTTTAACTTTATGGCATAATTAAATGTAAAATTATGTTAAGTCCATTAAGAAGGAAAAAGGCTCGCAAGTCTGGATCTGTACTGGAGGCCCCTCAGGTCCAATTCTTTACTGGTGGCCCAACAGTCTGAACTTGGAGGCATGATATGACAGTCTGAACTTGGAGGCATGATATGACAGTCTGAACTTGGAGGCATGATATGACAGTCTGAACTTGGAGGCATGATATGACAGTCTGAACTTGGAGGCAATTTACAAGACAGATTATTATCTTGACATGCATTATAAGAGAAAAGGGAAAAAAATTAACAAAACAAAGGAAATATCTGTTTAAACATGAGCAGTAACT